CAGTGTAGTAAAGAAAGCGAATGCTAGACTGAATTTCCTGTATAGACAAGCACAGTGTCTACCTACTGAGGCTCGCAGGACCCTATGTCTAGCCCTTATACAATGCCAAAATGGATTACGCTTGCTCTTCATGGTACTCTGCCTTGACAAAAATTACTGAAAGATAGACTGCAAATCACCCAGAACAAAATCGTAAGATTCATCCTGGGGCTGGGACCAAGAAACATGTAGGCCAGGATGAATTACAGCAGTTGGATATGCTGAGTGTTGAAGACAGAGTAAAACAACTGAAGCTAAATCATGTTTATAAAAATTTCTCACAAACAGTGTCCAGAATATCTTGCTGTCAAAATTTTTTCAAGGTTGGGAACCAAAGCATCATAGTACTAGGGGGAGAGAGCACAACTTTGTAGTACCCACAGTCATTGGCCAGGCTTCAAACACCTTTTATTGTACAAACAATAAAGGAAATGGAACAGACTGCCCGCACATGTCAAAGCCAGTCATAGCATGAACCGGTTCAAGAAGAGTGTCAAAAGGTGTCTGATGAATGAAGCTACAGAAAAGGAGGGGAATGATTTTCTATTTTTTAGCTAACATACGTGTAAATTTTACCTTATTCCTAGTAATGACCCTCGTATTGTAGATAGTTTTAATGACCCTCGTGTAGTAGATAGTCTTTTTAGTATGATAATAAGATGTTATCTTCATTGTAGAATAATAAGAAAATATTATAACCTTTATATTATAATAATAAGGTAAAAGGACCACAATGGAAATAAGTCACTCTGTCTGATTTTTTTGGGTTATCCCAGGTTCTCTACACATATGCTGCTATGTATGATAATTCTATGTAACTGTATTTGTGTATACCTGAATAAACTTACTTACTTACTTAACACAATTTTGTAGTATCTACAGTAAGTGATCAGCCTTCAAACACCTTTTATTACACAACGATAAAGGAGTAGAACGGATTGCCTGCACATGACATAGCCAGTACTAGCATGAACCAGTCAAGAAAGGAGTTAAAAGGTTCCTAATGAATGAAGCTACATAAAGGAAGTGATTTCTTGTACAGTTAACATTCGTGTGCCTATTATTGTAAGCCTATTTTCTCTATTTAACGTTCTTGTAATTACCTCATTTCACTTTATTCCTATTACGCCTCTTTTTGCTGTAAATATTTTCACAACTGAGTAGCTTAGTTATTTTAGTTTTTGAAGGTTATATTCTGACTGATTTCTGCTATATCTTATACTAAACTTTAAATAATATATTACAAGGACTCCAGTGGGTCCTTACACATATGTTAATTTACACATATGTTAATTTACACATATGTTAATTTACACATATATTATGCATGATAAATGTAGTTGTGTGTACATGTACCTAAATAAACTTACTTGGTTAATTTGTACATAAATTACTCTATAAGACAATTGTAAAAATATAAATTTGGGTACTATACATGAATAAAATCTTATTAACATTGACTAACAAAATATAAAAATGTTATTCATCCTGGGATCGAAACAATTATTCATATTTCAATTGTTAAACCCGAAGGGAATGACTTCGATGCGAGAATGAGTGGGAAGGTTGGGCATGTTTCTTTACACCTTAATAAGTAACTTTATTCAGGTATAGGCACACATAAATAGTTACATAAATTAACATATACATAGCAGCATATGTGTAGATTACTTAGTATAATCCCCCAAAAAAGTCAAAGTATAAGTGATTTATTTCCACTGGGGTCCTTGTAATATATTAGTATTTCAACCTCTAAAATGATCTATGTGAAGATGAGTTGCCCTCTAATATGATCTATGTGAAGATGAGTTAAGATAAGATAAGATAAGATAAGATAAGATTTCGTTCGGATTTTTAACCCCGGAGGGTTAGCCACCCAGGATAACCCAATACAAGGAGATATACTAGGAATGAGGTAAACTGAGTTATTTACACTAAAGAGAGGATCTAATCACAGTAATAGGTACATTATGGTGGCCCCGTGTCCTGGTTCCTAAAGCTCTCGCTTCACACGGTGAGTGTCCAGGTTCGATTTCCGGCGAGGGTAGAAGCATTGGGCGTGTTTCGTTACACCGGCTGTTTATGTTCCCCATCAGTAAAATGGGTACCTGGGAATTAGTCGAATTGGTGTGGGTCGCATCCTGGGACAAAATTGACCTAATTTACCCGAAATGCTCTGCATAACAAGGGGCTTTCTTGTATTAGTAAGATAAAGATAACATAAGATTTCGTTCGGATTTTTAACCCCGAAGGGTTAGCCACCCAGGATAACCCAAGAAAGTCAGTGCGTCATCGAGGACTGTCTAACTTATTTCCATTGGGGTCCTCAATCTTGTCCCCCAGGATGCGACCCACACCATTCGACTAACACCCAGGTACCTATTTGCTGCTAGGTGAACAGGACAACAGGTGTAAGGAAACGTATCGAAATGTTTCCAAGCGCCGGGATTCGAACCCAGGCCCTCCGTGTGTGAAGCCAGGCCACCGGGCCACCAATGTCACCTGATGTCAGTTAAGCCGGTATACCTTGTACATGTACTTGTAGAAATAAAATTATTATTATTATTATTATTACTATTATTTTTTTTTTTTTATTCGCCAGTATTCTCCCGGCCCGGGTCTTTTCCAAGTAGTGGTGACCCGGCCTTGGCTCCCTATCTGGGGAGTGTCTCGAGACTTAAGTCTCCCATGGGAGGAGGCACAGTACCTCCTCATCTTTGGGACCAAGTGTCCCCAGGCCTAGCCACATTCCCCGCCCTCACGGGGCTCGTAGGGAGAAGCTAGGCCTCTGGTCTGCCATCTACCCCGCCTCAAAGTGGCTCGTGGGGATGGCAGTCTTATGAGCTGCAGATGATAGCAAGCTCAGGCTGTATTATTATTATTATTAATGTTAGCTATACAAGAAATCACTCTCCTACCTCTCACCTGCTGAAGATTATGCTTTTATTCGGATTATTAAGCTGGAAAGTTAGTAACCCGAGATAAGCCAATGAAACAACTACGTTTCGCTTATTGCTGCTGGGTCTTTTGACCCTCTTCCCGGGAATATGACCCACAACACTTGGCTACCATTTGAGCCATGAACCACCTGAGCTTAGTATTGTGGGTCACAAGAAAACAAAAACTCTATCTGCCAGACAGAAACAGTATTTCTACCACTATTTTTTTTTTTCAAAACTTCATACACTATATGCAAGAGTCACTTATAGCATATTTCTTTTGTACAACTATGTATCATGTCCAAATAATAATAATAAATAAATAAATAAATAAATAAACGGATTAAAAAGGCGGTAAAAAGTATATATAAAAGGGTTAGCGATACATGCAATGAGAAAACGATATATAATTTCATTTAAGAGAAAACGGAAGTGTGGTACACTATTATAAATTATGCGTGTAACTTACTGTAACTGACTGACTGAGTTTTTCAAATCATGATTATGTAAGCCTATCATATAAACAATTTAAACGGATGTATATTACACAAGCAACATAGACGTACTAGTGAAAAATTATTTAATCACCACGACATAGTAAAGAAAACGAGTCCATAACATTTTAATTAACAAAATTGTACTTTCATTTTGAATTAGAGAATGTTTGAGAGGCAAGACTTGCTGAATTGTTCTGAACAGTGATTTTCTAATATACCAGAATTAGAAACTACGTTAATGATAGTTCCCTTCCTAAGGAATCCATTGGAAATATGTCAGTGCTAAACTGTACTGGATTATATTAGGTTAAATTCTACACAATTGTAAAATTAAAATTATGTACTAGGCCTAAACGGTACAATGAAACTTAATAATTTAACTTCACCTAAGAGCATTTTAAAAAAAGCCAAGATGAATATCCCAACGAACAACATATATATCAGTGAACTGAGACCACAAAAACCTCCAACAGCAGTGGGAAGCAGTAACTTCATAATGGCAAGTTTTCCATACATCCCGGATGCCCCTGATCACACAGAAATAAAATAGATGCCGACAGTTGTGGTTCACATCCAGGCAAGAATTGTCATGTGTTATAAATTCTTGCTGGAAATTATATCCTGGACATAATACCAGTGTATAAGACACTCCAAATGTGTACTCACCTATCTGTGCTCACTTATCTGTGGTTGCAGTGGTCGAGACACAGCTCCTGGGCCCGCCTCTTCACTGATCGCTACTAAGTTCTCTCTCCCTGCTCCATGAGCTTTTTCATACCTCGTCTTAAAGGTAAGTATAGTTCCTGCCTCCACTACATCGCTTGCCAGACTATTCTACTTCCTGACAACTCTATGACTAAAGAAATACTTCCTAAAATTTCTCTGACTTATCTGAGCCTTCAACTTCCAATTATGACCCCTTGTTTCTGTGTCCCATCTCTGGAACATCCTGTCTCTGTCCACCTTGTCAATTCCTCGCAGTATTTTGTATGTCGTTATCACGTCTCCCCTAACCCTCCTGTCCTCCAGTGTCATCAGGTCGACTTCCCTTACAAGTGTTGGGAAGGTGTGTGGTGTATGTAATGTTGTTACTTATGAAAGACGATATATATTTTACTTTTTTTCATTACATTAATATATGTTATTGGAACAAGATTAAACACTGTACATAATTTGTCATATTACTTAGGTAGCAGTTGTGATGTTGGGTGAAAAAATGTGCCTCAAATTGCTGTTATACTGACATAATCAATATATGAATGAAAAGATTAATAGTAAATAGTTCTTACTGGAAGATATTTCTGAGGTGTGAACTTAATTAACGCGTTTTCATAACATCTGTGTAACCTCATCGCCATTGTAAAAGTTGAAACTTATCTTAGTAAAACCTTCCCACAGTCGCCACAGCTAGTTACTATGACATAAGGAAAATCTGTTCTGTCATAATAAAGGTATCACTAGAGTCAACTGCTCTTCCCTGTGAGACGGTGCCATCGTGTGACAGTGCGTGAGGGTAGACACTTACCGTCGGGGCAGAGATATGGCAGCTCATGGCGGCTACTTGGCTCCCTCAAGACATCAGGAACCTGAAAAAAATAAAACGAGTTACACGCGGTGATGTTTGAATAATATTAGAATGATCGTGAAAACAATTTGTGTGTGATTGCATTAGGGCAATCAAGAGGTATCCTCGATCTTCCACCCACTCTACCTCGCAACACACATCATTAGGGCGATCAAGAGAGGTATACCTACTCTCCTACCCCGGTATACCTCACAACACACCATTAGGGCTATCAAGGGAGGTATCCTTACTCCCCTACCACAATATACCTCACAATACGCACCATTAGGGCCACCAAGAGAGGTATCCCCACACTCCTACCCCGGTATACCTCGCAACACCCACCATTAGGGCCATCAAGAGAAGTATTCCCGGTATACCTCGCAACACACGCACCGTCCCCTCGCTTAACAACGCCACAAGCTCTACTCACTGTATAATTTTCCAGGAAACAACATAATAACAGCGAGAGGCAATTTTAGCTACAATATCCCACCATGAAGCTCCGTGACACACAACCCGGGTCCACCAATCTGACGACCCTCTGCGACCCTCCTTCAAGGACAACACTTCAACACTTTGGCATCAATACACACGTACTAGATAGTCTTGTATAGGGACAGTGTTATGCTATAGAGACAATGCTTCGTTATTAGGAACCTATTTTTTCAATAATCTGAAAAATTTCTCCTTTAAGAGAAATTGTCCTAGAGCAAATTAATTCTGGTAGCATGTGTCTGTCTCCACCGGGGTCGTCAGTACGTCCTTCAAATGATCTCCACGCTTGGATGACAATGAAATATCCCGAGCCCATACACCTGTTACCTGTGATATACACTGTAGCTGCATTCTGAACCTATACACACCACTGCATGCAGTGCGATTGATACACTGCAACAGTGTCCCTAACCTGTGCACAAAGACACACACACACACACACATCACTTGACATCATTAACACCTGCAGGATGACCTGGTATCATGACCACCACACAAGATGACCTGGTATCAAGACCGCTTCACAAAATGACCTGGTATCATGACCATCACAGAACGACTTAAAGGCAGAGATTGTAATCACCTCAGCAGAAGAGTCGACCAAGGTATCTCGCAGCGTAGATCATCACGGGAACACCTGTGGCTTGTTACCGACTGCACTGTTAGGATGGGGGTGTCATCGAGGTAGCTGTGCGTGGAAGCTGCATGCAGAGCTCTAACGACAAGACAGCGCGTGTAGAGCTTGTCTTGTCCGAGCAGGAAGAATGTCACCAACGCAGAGAAATAACTTTATTTCACCAAGAGCTGTGCTAAAGAAACCCTGAATTGCAATGACTGTCTGAGAGACACCGATCACACACCCATGCTGCAGGGCTGCCTGGCACCTGGCACGCCTCATGGGGAACACTCCGATCACACACCCATGCCTCAGTCATCATGGAGGACTTCCTGACACCTGGCACTCTTCATGACATAACACTGACCAACACACACCTCATGCAACTGACTCAGGACCAGTATAGCATCTTCCACTACTATATGTACCTCTCTACCTTCTTCTCAAACAGTGTCATCATTGTCTGTCCATTTGTCAATGTGTCCTCATTATCTGTCCACCTGTCCCTCTTTGTCCTGTTCTTCTTGTCTGTCAAACGGTCCTCATTGTGTGTTCCTGTCCTCCGTCCAGTAAATAAATGACGTCTCGTTATCAATAATCTCTCCTAACCACCCTTCTCCTCCTCCCCTCTCAGTCTGTCATTCTCCAATTATTGTCCGTGTCCTTTGTATCTCCACCCTGCCCCTCCCCTCGTCCTTTGACCTAACATAAATACCATCATGTGTCGTCCTATCCCCCACCTCCCTCCCCAGTATTCGTTACTTCCCCCATTAACTTATTATTAACACCCTACATGCACCTCCGTTATTCCTACCCTCAGTTTAGCACCTATCCCTCTCTCCTTCCTCTTCCCTCTCTCCTGCTGCAACATCAACACATTCAGTCATTTCTCACTGCAACATCAACACATTTTACTCCTCCCTTACTACAACATTCTTTTCACAACATCAACACATTCTACTTCTCCAATAATAATAATACGCATTTGATTCTTCTCCCTCACTAAAACATCAATATATTCTTGTCAGTGTAACATCAACACGTCCTACCTCTCTCTCTCTCCCTGAAACGTCACTTCATATACTAATCCTCACTAGCCTAAATATTCAACCTTACCGACCTTAATATTGAGAAATCTGAATACTGATGTACCAGTCACCTTCCTTGATCCCTCCCTTCCCGGCCCTCAGAGTGTGTAAACTGACATAGGTCATTCGTAGGTCAATGATAAAGCGTTCCTCTCAATAGAAATGACCCGGGTTTGACCTCTGGGCGAGTTGTGATGTTAGGCAAGTACACATTCTGGTCATGTTCGCCTGGCAATAAGTAGATACCTGGGTGTTACCTACTGTGGGTCGTATCTTATGAATGAGGACCTATAAGCCACATTGCTTGGCTTTCTTGGGTTAATTTTGGTTGATAATTAAAAGAATGCTTTCTTGTTTATGGCAGCAGATAAATGGAGTAGATAGCGACCACACAACACGTTCGGTTAATGATATTTAAAGTCTATGGTCGATGTGAGGTTAAAGCCTATCGTCTATGTGAAGTTCATTAAAGTTGCAAATCACCTTTTCATCAACACTCGAGAATATTTTAATTTGTAGATGAATGGTTCAGAGAACCGACATGTTGATAAATTAGACACATGTGCAACTGTTGGGTATCTTTATTGAGGAAACGTTTCGCCACACAGTGGCTTCATCAGTCTATACAAAGGAGAAACTTGAAGAACAGGAGGAGAATGAGGTAATCAGTCCCTCAACCTTGAGTCGATGTGGTCAGTCCATCAATCTTCTATTCAAGATTGATGGACTGACCACATCGACTCAAGGTTGAGGGACTGATTACCTCATTCTCCTCCTGTTCTTCAAGTTTCTCCTTTGTATAGACTGATGAAGCCACTGTGTGGCGAAACGTTTCCTCAATAAAGATACCCAAGAGTTGCACATGTGTCTAATTTATCAATATTTTAATTCCTTAAAATAAAAGACTTAAGCAAACTCTCAGCGTATATACAGTGAGATATACATCTCGATATATGTATACACAGTGAGATATACATCTCGGTGTATATACAGTGAGATATACATCTCGGTGTATATACAGTGAGATATACAACTCTGTATATACATTGTAGTCAACACTTATAATACACCTTAATGACATCAAAATAAACTGACACCTGACCTACCACCAAGGTCATACTCAACACACAACTAAGTTACCCAGATCACGACGATAAGGAAAGGTCATCTCTTGTGACTTTGACCTGTTCAAGGTCACATCATCGGGGAAGCTAAGATATTGAGACTCCATCTTGAGAAAAAAAATAAGGTCAGTCCCGGCGGGGGTCCTGGTCTAGGTAAGCTAGGTCAGGCGGCACTAACTTCAAGTTTATGTTGATCGTCTCACAAGTGATTTATACTGAGAAAGGAAGACTTTTGTGAATATTAATATAAGAAATGAGACGCCACAATTTATTTCAATATTCCCAGTTTAGAAGAAGAGTTTCTAAGTGACACCGTTTAGGGTGTGTGGTGTGTGTGTGTGTGTGTGTGTGTGTGTGTGTGTGTGTGTGTGTGTGTGTGTGTGTGTGTGTGTGTGTGTGTGTATGTGTGTGTGTATGTGTGTGTGTGTGTATATATGTGTGTGTGTATATATGTGTGTGTATATATGATGTGTGTGTATATGTGTGTGTGTGTGTGTGTTGTGTGTGTGTATGTGTATGTGTGTATGTGTGTATGTGTGTATGTGTGTGTGTGTGTGTGTGTGTGTGTGTGTGTGTGTGTGTGTGTGTGTGTGTGTACTCACCTAGTTGAGGTTGCGGGGTCGAGTCCGAGCTCCTGGCCCGAGCTCCTGGCTCCTGTGTGTGTATGTGTGTGTGTATGTGTGTGTGTGTGTGTGTATGTGTGTATGTGTGTGTATGTGTGTATGTGTGTGTGTATGTGTGTGTGTGTGTATGTGTGTGTGTATGTGTGTGTGTGTGTGTGTGTGTGAGGTCACAAGGGTACCCTCACCTCATACCCAGTATTTACTTGAAGTGAATCATTTATTTAAGCAAGAGAAATTAAGCACCTAGATATACTTATAACATGATACGACAATTATATACTCTAACATCACTACATGCTTCAAATAATAATAATAATAATATGTAATATGTATTTCAAACTATTTTACAACAAATACTGTATAACATAGATCATTTAGGGAGGTGTGTGATCCATCTTGTTAACTTCCTTGTTTATATTAGATGTCTCACTCACGACAACTACAATTTTGAATTTAGTCAACTATCTGGCTTTTTCTTATAATTGTGTAAAACTAAATAATTTTTAAATCACCTGCAAAAAGAGTGATGTGAACTACAGTGGGTTTTGTCCCAAGAATTTTATCCTGATTGTACTGGCATCGCTACTGAGATGACCCAGTGATGCTGCTCCTCTCTCTCTCTCTCTCATAATTAACGCGAAAATTTATTTTAACAATCACAATGAAAATGAGAAATAACTAACAGTGACGCTGACATTGGCACTAACATTAACATTTCACACGTTCTCTACCTGTTAAAATTTTCATCTGATAAAGAATGGTCGAAACCATTTCACTGTTAGTGAGTGTGAGCGTGACTCAGCATGAAGGGTTATGTACAACTTCTGGTATTTAGTAGACAGGCCAAGTGGTGGTGGCTGACACAGGTAGTAAGTGCTGTGTCCACAGTGTTTCAGTTGATCTAAAATGCCAAGGCTACACAGTGTTGATATGCACGCCAGGTTTGTGGTTACTATCAGCTAGAACGAAGGTCAGCATCGGGTTGTGACGAGTTAGAATCATCACATGATCGCAGAGTGATTGTAGCAGATTGTGTACCACCTAAAGTTATGGACACTCTGGTGTAGTGACGG